GGCTTCCCTCGCCCTTGGCCGTCGCCATCGTGGTGTCATTTTTGGGGTGAAAAGAGCTATAACCGGTATCCAACTGTCTCCCCCAGCCGAGGAAATTGCCATCAGTTGGCCGCGGATCACCGCCTTCGCCGAATCGCACCGGAGGAGGGGGTTGGTATCCGGTAAGTCAGCGATCACGGTGCCGGTTGGTGCCGGTGAGGACCTAGGAGCATGTTTTGGAAGCCCCAAAACCATGGGGTGATGGGTGCAGGAGATGGGAAAGCAGCCGGATACGGCCGCCGCGGTGCCGGGAGGGATGCGGGCAGCCAACCGGTGGGTTTTCGGCGGCGGGGCCGGATCCTCACCTCCATTTTTCCCTGTAGATGATGGGCTGTTGAGCGAGAACGAAGAGGAAGACCCACCACCGGGCGAGCTGGAGAAGGTGGACGCCGAGGGGACGCCGGCGGGGAAGCCCAAGGGGAGCAGCCCCGCCGGCGGAGAGGGGACAAAGCCCGGTGACAGCCCCCAAAAACCAGAGAACCAGCCCAGAAAGCCATCGGGCAAGCGACAGGGTAAATCGGGCCACCGAGGCTTCAAGAAATTCCCCCCGCGGAGCTTGCTCAGCCACGGCCGCTGCCACGACTGCGGCAAAGCTTTGGCTTTCGGTTCAGCCTTCAACAAACGCCGGCGAGGGACGGAACGACCCCATAAATGCCCCGAATGCGGAAAATGTTTTCGGCTCAGCTCAACCCTCATCACCCATCAACGCCGGCACGCCAGCGATAAACCCTACAAGTGTCCCGATTGCGGCAAGACCTTCAGCGTTGGTTCGGCGTTCATCCAACATCAACGGGTGCACGCCGGTGCCGGCGCCGGCGCGGCGCCTTGCCAGTGCGGCGTCTGCGGGAAGAGTTTCCCGGCCAGCGCCAGTTTGGTGAAGCACCAAAAATTACACCTGGAGGAAAAACCCTACAAATGTGGGGATTGCGGGAAGGGTTTCAACTGGAATTCGCATCTGGAGCGGCATCGCCGGATCCACACCGGCGAAAAGCCCTACGCCTGCCCTGAATGCGGTAAGAGCTTCAGTTGGAGCTCCCACCTCGACCGGCATCGCCGTACCCACGCCGTCGCCGGCGAGCCCGCTTGCCGTTGCGCCGATTGCGGTCGCTGCCCAACTCCTCGCGGTGCCGAAGGCTCCAAAACCCCCGAGAAGCCCTTGCAGTGCGGTGAATGCGGGAAGGGCTTCACCAAGAGCGCGGCGTTGGCCAAGCACCGGCGCGCTCATGCCGGTGAGAAGCCCTACAAGTGCGGGGAGTGCGGGAAGGGTTTCGGCTTGAACGCCGCGTTGCTGCAGCATCAACGGAGCCACGCTGCCGGCAAACCCTACCAATGCGGTGACTGCGGTAAGAGCTTTGCCTGGAGCTCCCATCTTGACCGGCATCGGCGTATCCATATGGGAGAGAAACCCTACCGTTGCGGGGATTGTGGGAAGAGCTTCTCCCAAAGTTCCCACTTGGAGAGGCACCAACGCGTCCACGCCGGCGCCGAGCAACCCTGCCAATGCACCGATTGCGGTAAGAGCTTCTTGGCCTCCAACAAGCGCCGGCGGCTGTTGACCGGCACCGGTGAACGACCCTGTAAGTGCACCGATTGCGGGAAGAGCTTTCTTTGGGGAACCCGTGCCCGACCGGCGCCGGAGAGGACCCATAAGTGCAGCGAATGTGGGAAGAGCTTCACTTACCGGGCGGAGAACGTCAAGCACCAGGGGACGCAGACGGGGGAGAAACCCTATACCTGCCCCGAATGCGGGAAGAGCTTCGGGCAAAATTCGGCATTGGTGAAGCATCGCCGGATGCATACGGGAGAAAAACCCTACAAGTGCGGGGACTGCGGGAAGAGCTTCAGCGTCCGCTCCAACCTCATCAAACATCAACGGACCCACCTTGGCGAGAAGCCCTACAAGTGTCCCGATTGCGGGAAGGGTTTCATCCAGAAGTCGGACCTCACCAAGCACCGCCGGATGCACACCGGGGAGAAACCCTACAAGTGCAACGTCTGCGGTAAATGCTTCAGCGTCTCCTCCAACCTCATCAAGCACCAACGCATCCACCTCGGCGAGAAACCCTACCAATGCTCCGAGTGCGGCAAGAGCTTCATCCAACGCTCCGAGCTCACCATCCACCAGCGCGTCCACACCGGCGAGAAGCCCTACAAGTGTCCCGAGTGCGGCAAGTGCTTCAGCCGCAGCCCCCCCCTCCAACGCCCCCCAC